CTTGAGCTGACATCCATAACTAATTAAAAATCAGTAGTGCATATCCTGGGCGGTCCCCTTAACAGGATAATATAAGACGATCGATAGCACAGGATCGATAAATGCATTTAAGTGATAGACACATTGTTATAATAGCTAGCGTGGACAGCAAGAAACAGATAAAATGACAACCGACTGAAAGGGGGCATATAAAATATGTTTAGCTCTAAAAGTAAGAAGATTACCATAACTACTTCCATTCGAATATCCGATAAGAAGCGCGGCTTGTTGACATCGCCGCGCTGACCCGCTCTTCTAGGGACCCAGCCGTTGGATCGTAGGTCCAATAGGTCATCAATCATGAAGCGAATTCTGGCGGGCAAGAACTCTGACGTATCTGGAGTTTTAATTGACGCCTGAATAGCGGTTACCGAGTTTTTACGCTGCTGCCCAGCCACGCCAGTGCGCTTTATATTAGTTAGGGGCGGCGTAGCGCGCTCTAATATGCGAGAAAGCCTTTGGAAATATTGATCCATTAAATTTTTTGCCTTTGGCGTATCCATATATTGGCCAACCGTCGTCAGGAACTGGCAAAGACACTCCATATTGGCCACAAGCACCTCAGCCTCTGCTTTCCGTTCTGAAGAAAAATGGGAGCATCAAGTTATTGGGAAAAACAAGGTGGATAATATTTAGGAAGCTTACTAAATTCGGTGGACGCTTCCAAAGGAAATATTGAATCAGAATGTCCATTTTTCTTGGCACCTTCATTGTTCCTTTGCCTTTTTGAAAGAAGCTGTCTGACACAGTCATGTAGTATCCTCTCTGGTATGAGACCAAGTCTTCCAAGCTCTCCGATAAATCGTAAGTTTCCCAAACAGCGCCTTCTCTGGATTCTATCGACCTCCCCAATGTCTCTGCGCGCAACAAATTCATTTTCACAACGTTTAAGCAAAAGAATACGGAAAGTCTAAACAGATGAGCAAGAGAAGGTCAACTTGCAGAATTGGGGCTTGTAGGGGGTTCAAAATTAGGTAGAAGATTTGAAAGCTTGAAGCATAGCTGGGCGTATAAGGAAGTAAATTTAGATTCTTCAGTTGCCTTTTGAAACACCTGCAGGGTTAGATTAAGCACCACAACTTACTAGTTGTACGATGATTTGATGGATAAAAGGAGAGGTAATTCCAACATCTACAATTCTTTGAGACAATTGCTCGAAATTTTCTGCAGTAAGCTTGTTTAGTATGCTTTTAAAAGTAAAGAAAAATTAAGCCTACGAAAGGATTTCCCTATGGGCGGCTTCGGAGTGAGCTAATGAACAGTGTCGTGGAAGCGTAACACCATGGGGCCATTTTTCCGAATAGCAAGACTCAGATGAAGACCCCGATTTGTCAGAGATCTGAGGCTGGAAAGAATTACTTTCTGTCCGACCGACTGAGTCTAAACTATTTGAAGTAATTCTTCCAGTTTTGTCCAGAATTTTGACGGAATTTTCGCAAAAATACAGTGATCGTCAATGCTCTGAAGTTTTGAAAATATTTTTTAATGAAACGAAACCTACACTGTAGAAAGGAAGAAATCAACGAAGCCTCGGGGCCGAGGACGAATGAAGGACAAAGGGAAAAAGAAACCGAGAGGGCAGATGAAGACGGCGCGTCTATGGCTTCAACAATATAAATTTTAAAAAATATAGCTTAGTCAACATAATAAAGTTAACTTTTATTAATTATCAATTAGAAATAATCAACAAGTATAGTTTTAGTGCGACAAGTTGTGATGACTATTTCTATCATTAAGTCCAACCAAGTTAAGTCTCCAAATCTAATAATTTTATAGATTTTATTAAAGTTTAATATTTAAATATATACGTAAGCAGTTAATTTTTAGGTCTAGGCAAGAATATGCTCTATATGCGTCTTTGAATTAATTATGTAATAACATTTTTACCAGGAATTTATAAGATTATTCCACTTTTCATTATCTTGCTTCTAAAAATAGTGTTAGATATTCCATTAACAATTCCTCCCCCAGATAAACCGAATTAAATATT